TCGTAGTACCCACTGACAAGCAGGAAGACCTCGTCCCTGTTGTACGTACCCACTGACAAAGCAAGGAACGACCTCGTCCCCTGTTGTAGTACCCACTGCAAAGTAGGAAGACCTGCCCCTGTTGTAGTACCCACTGCAAAGCAGGAAGACCTGGCCCCTGCTGTAGTACCCACTGCAAAGCAGGAAGACCTGTCCCCTGTTGTAGTACCCACTGCAAAGCAGGAAGACCTGTCCCCTGTTGTAGTACCCACTGCAAAGCAGGAAGACCTGGCCCCTGTTGTAGTACCCACTGCAAAGCAGGAAGACCTGGGCCCTGTGGTAGTCCCACTGCAAAGCAGGAAGACCTGTCCCCTGTTGTAGTACCCACTGCAAAGCAGGAAGACCTGGCCCCTGTTGTAGTACCCACTGCAAAGCAGGAAGACCTGTCCCCTGTTGTAGTACCCACTGCAAAGTAGGAAGACCTGGCCCTGTTGTAGTACCCACTGCAAAGTAGGAAGACCTGCCCCTGTTGTAGTACCCACTACAAAGCAGGAAGACCTGTCCCCTGTTGTAGTACCCACTGCAAAGCAGGAAGACCTGTCCCCTGTTGTAGTACCCACTGCAAAGCAGGAAGACCTGTCCCCTGTTGTAGTACCCACTGCAAAGTAGGAAGACCTGGCCCTGTTGTAGTACCCACTGCAAAGTAGGAAGACCTGCCCCTGTTGTACCAGAAAAGTAGGAAGACCTGGCCCTGTTGTAGTACCCACTGCAAAGCAGGAAGACCTGGCCCCTGTTGTAGTACCCACTGCAAAGCAGGAAGACCTGCCCCTGTTGTAGTACCCACTGCAAAGCAGGAAGACCTGTCCCCTGTTGTAGTACCCACTGCAAAGCAGGAAGACCTGTCCCCTGTTGTAGTACCCACTGCAAAGCAGGAAGACCTGCCCCTGTTGTACCAGCAAAGCAGGAAGACCTGTCCCCTGTTGGTTGATTCAGGACCAATTTTTTTTTTTTGCAAATCAGAAAAAAATGAGGCGAATCCGAGAAACAACAAATTAAATTGGTGTGGCCTAATATATTGAAGAAGAGACAAAATGTACTTAAAATGGAAAGCAAAGCAGGAAGACCTGGCCCCTGCTGTAGTACCCACTGCAAAGCAGGAAGACCTGGCCCCTGTTGTAGTACCCACTGCAAAGCAGGAAGACCTGCCCCTGTTGTAGTACCCACTGCAAAGCAGGAAGACCTGCCCCTGTTGTACCAGCAAAGCAGGAAGACCTGTCCCCTGTTGTAATACCCACTGCAAAGCAGGAAGACCTGGCCCCTGTTGTAGTACCCACTGCAAAGTAGGAAGACCTGCCCCTGTTGTAGTACCCACTACAAAGCAGGAAGACCTGCCCCTGTTGTACCAGCAAAGCAGGAAGACCTGCCCCTGTTGTACCAGCAAAGTAGGAAGACCTGGCTCCTGTTGTACCAGCAAAGTAGGAAGACCTGGCTCCTGTTGTAGTACCCGCTGCAAGCAGGAAGACCTGGCTCCAGTTGGTGCACCGGTGGTACAACTGGGACCATGTCTTCCTGCTTGCAGTTGGCAGCAATGCAGGGATCATCTTTTCACCTTGCTCCCC